ATGGTGCCAATCAATAATTTGCCCAATCCACAAGAAAGGCGACACGAGCAACCCTGTTAACTACCGCCCTATCTCCCTAATACCCACGATACTCAAACTGCTAACATCAATATTGGCCGAACGACTGCAGAATTGGTGTGACGCGGAGAAGAAAATTTCAGAGGCACAAGCTGGTTTTAGACGCGGAATTGGTACATTGGAACACATCTTTACCCTTAATACAATGATGCAATCCAAGCTTAAAAATCCAGGAGGCGCCCTGTTTACAGCATTTGTGGATCTGAAGCAATGTTTTGACAGCGTTAGTCATGACCAACTTTGGAATGCACTCGAGCAAAATAAGGTTGGGCAAAAAATACTGCACCTTTTCCGCAGCATTTACAAGCAAGCAAGTGGTAGAGTCAGGAGCAGCACGGGCCTAACTAAGCAATTTAAAATTCTCCAAGGCGTATTACAAGGGGAAAGCGCTAGCAGTACTCTGTTCAACCTGCTGATTAATCTGGTCGTGGATAAGCTCAATTCCTCACTAATACCGACAGTAGACATCGGAAGTGCAAAACTCCACATCTTGCTATTTGCTGACGACATCATTCTGCTCGCCAATACTGCTAGTCAACTACAACTCAAGATTGACGTACTTGCAACTACGATTAAAAATCTGATGCTTAGAGTAAACCTAGATAAAACAAAGGTCATTATTTTCAGAAAAATGAAGCATAAATTTGACCACCAATTCAAGTGGATGTCCGACCAACTTGAAATTGTACATACATATACCTACCTTGGGGTGCCTTTTCAAAGCAATGGTACATTTAAAATTGCTGCATCTAACTTTATTGCTAAAACTACAGCCGCTGCGTCTCAAGTATACGGTATCTGTCGGCGATCCAGAGTCCCACCAATTTCGACCCATGTAAGGCTTTACAACTCCCTAGCCAAAACGGTACTGCTCTATGCAGCACATGTGTGGGGTCTGGACTTTGTGGACGAGATCGAGAAAGTCCCTGTCAGATTCTTCAAACGATTATTACGACTCCCGAACTCAACGCCTGATTATGTGGTGCGCCTTGAACTTGGACTCGCGAAGATCCGAACAGTCCTCATCAAACAGACACTTAATTTTGTCAGGAAACTACTGCTCCGTGACGAGAAATCTGTACTCGGACAATGTCTAAGATGGCAGATAAAGTGGGCAAGAAAAGAAGGTAACAATTGTAAGTACAATTGGATCAGAAAAGTAGAGATGCTGTTAAAAGGGACGGACATGGAAAGCATTGCCGGTAAAGAGGACGCGATATTGGAACAACTACTTGATAAATTCTCCTCAGTTATTGCTCAATCATGTACAAAGGAGATCAATGAGGACACATGCAGATTGGTTAACTCTGACCGCATGTCACATTACGCTGCCATGAAATCACATGCCACCACCGAACCGTACCTTCTGATGGACCTACCATTCTCAATCTGTAGTATCATATCTCAGCTACGAATAGGACTATACTCCATAAAATTAGGTGATCGAAAAATAATAATTACCACGAAGTGTCCATTCTGCACTTCCGAGTCTGACACCACCGTTGACCACCTTACTTTACACTGCAAAATTCCTACCCCTAGCAGAAATAAACATTTGTGTACGTATACCCAAGATCAGTGCGTATCTGTCCTTGGTCCGGCCTGGAGAGTAAAATTCTGGTCCGGCCTTTTATGTGCAAAATTATTAAAATTGATTCAGCGGATTTCGGTCGCTTATTTCTTATCCACGGCTATCGTCACAAATACAGAGGGTGTCCCATTTATTCGTAGAAGGGTTGAATAATTTTTTTACCCCACAAGCGTATTTTCCTAAGGCGAAACTTATTCCATATGACGGCCCTTGTTTTTAACTGTAAAAATGCATCGCCCTTTATCCCATAAAAAAACTTCCAAGGACTTTTCTTATTTCGTATATCTTCCAGTCATTATTTTAAGCGTTCCAACGTGCGTGAAAATTCCTAAATCGATTCGAAATTTTCATGATTGGTTAAGTCTATATTTTTGTAAAAACATTACCTTTATCTAGCCACAAATATTCCTAATTGCTGATATACATAAATATAAAATACCCGAAAATCTCAAGTTCATATTTAAATACTTTTAAATTATTTTAAATTAAATTATAGCTTATTACTGTACTGAGAAAGTTTTTTTAATTCTAACTAATACAAGGCTTTTAAAAACGGTTTGGAACCGTTTTTCATAGAATAGATAATCGGGTTACTTAAATTTGCAACAACTCCATTTCAAACCGGTTTTCAAAATCTCCCGATTTTGGATGTCGCAGAGATGAGACTTGATTGCCAAATTTCACGAAACAGAAATTATTGAATAAGTTATGTACATTAAGACAATTTTGGTTATCGTTTTCAGAATTCAATTTCTACTTGTCCACTGTTTGACAGATGCGTATTAGCATTTGTAACCCCCCACTTTCGTGAATTAAAGCTCCTAGAAAAAAGGTAACGCATGCAAATCAGTTTTTTCGCTCGGAAATGCTAGAACGCATTGATAGATTTTGAGAAAATTAAAGAGGAAATGCTCCTCGCCATTGTTATGAAGACTTTAAAGGTCGTTTAGACAAAAAAATATTTGGTGAAGTAGGGATCATGTATTTACGCCAACATTTTGCATGAGTGGGTCGACACAGATAGAATGGTTAAGTTATTAATGCTCGATTGATAGTGCCACGCCCTTTTCAATTACACATGACAAATTGTTTGATAAGGTTATTAACACAAACTTGAAAATTTTTCAACTGCAGGATTATTTATCTTATGTTACCTCAACCGATTTACAGAAATCGTCACAGAAGGCTTAAGTTTGAGTATTGAATCATTTTGTGAGATCATTGAAACTTTTCAGAAGTGAACAAAATCAAGATTCAATTTATAACTATGTAAGCGTTGATTTGGGACATTAGGTTCTTTGTATAAGTTAACATGTACTTCGGAGGGTCAATAATATCTAGTGTCTGCATCACCCGGCCGGTACGGCCCTTCGGGCCGTCCGGCCTGGAGAGTGCTCTCCACTTAAAACCAGTGCTCCTACGGCCCTGCCCAAGATTTTACTACCTTCACTGAGATGTATAATGACAACGATAACATAACAAATCGCAACTTTTTTAAATCTGTATTTTGCTATTGGATTGACGTATTCAATTTTTATGACTTATTAATGTAATGATGTTTTGTAATAATCAATGATGATATGTTGATCAGGGCTGCAGGCCGTATATCAATAAATACTATACTATACTACTATACGTCTCGGATGGCAGCAGGAGTGTAATTCGAATGAATTTGAACTGTATTTAGTTAGAGGTAGCTGACCTTCATATTTAATACAAATAATCCACATTTATTAATTACCTCATTTTGGGTACATCTGTAGCTTACCACTGCATTGTATAACCTGCCTCACTTTTGCTGCAAACAATGGATTTTATAACTGACACAAGGAAGTATGTAGAGCAAATCTTATATGAACCCGATCACTAGGCCGTTTAATAACAGAGTCCTCAAAAGTAGGGTTAGAAATCTGAAATTCTTGCAAAATATGCTAAACATATCTGACTACGTCTCCCCAAAATTTCATAAGTTTTCATTGGAAAATAAATTTCCTACACCACTTCAAATTGAGGAAATCGGGAAACGAGTTTTTGTAAGTCCAAAAATTTGAGTGACAACGACTCGAAGTAGACTTGACTGCATTTCAACGGAGAAGGGGGTGGGCGTGAAAAAATTGAGACATACATAAAAAAGTAAGCAGAATCCGAAAATATCAACCTAAGATACGCACCATGAGAAAAAACCACCACATAGGCCCTTCGAAAGTTAATAACGATTGAATCATTTTTTGAAAATTATTCATCCACGTCCATGCCTGATGCCGCCATGAAGTCAAAGATTAATACAAACTATTTGTATCATATTAAAGCCCATAAATTGCGGGTCAAAGCAAATTCAAACAAATCTTCAGCAAAGCATACGGAACGTCAAGAAAAAATGGTAAACGCAAGACCTACCAAGCCGTGCAACAAAATGTCACCAAAATAATTGGTCACTGACGACGAGTCCTACGTCCTTAAAAACGTGACAGAAACTTCGGGAAGGGAATTTTTTTCATGGGAAATATATCTCTCAACTGAAAACCGAACAGAAATTAAAATGTTTTTCGTAATTTCTCAAAAAATCTCAGGTTTGGCTGGCGTTCGGTCAATTTGGGCATGTTTCGGACCCCTCAGTTCATATGGGCTATGAGGACGCACAGGTTTGTTTTCGGAAATGTGTGATAGACCGTCTGATTCCTTTCATCAAGGTGTATCATAAAATACAAAATGCAATTTTTTGGACCGACCTTGGGCTAATCCACAATGCAATAACTATCAAGAAAAAAATCGAGAAAAAAATCATTTTGATGCTGGAAAATTAAAATCCCACATACATCCATTATCTTCGCTCAATTAAAAAAAGTTGGGCTATATGTGAGAAGACATACTCCCAGCTTTGTGAAACAGTCGATACTTAAAGAAAATTTTGGTTACGGATGGAGAAAATTAACAATGAAGTTGCAAAGTCTTCCGGAAAAGAATTAATGGCGGGCGCGATGAAAAAGACTAAATACGAATTGAGTAATTGATTAAGGTCTCCTTTCTTCGCTGATACCTAATGTCAGTAATGTTTATAATAACCACCAAAAATTTGAGATTTTAAAAATCATTTTTGACCATTTTGAGGATAAATTTCCAAGTGATCGGGTTTATATAAGATTTGCTCTATGTCATGGTTCTGTGGGCCAGACTTGACTAGATTTGCCTGGCATTGGTTCATTACAATTGCTAATGAATTTATATACGAAAGTATTTACCTTTACTTTGGTTTGTTTGTTATGCAATGTAATCATGCAGCTGAGCTATTAATTACAAGACTTATGTAGACTAAGCGGGATTAGGAAGGAAATGGGAACATGGTTTTGATCGCAGTAGTAATTTTGGTGTTATTAATTAATAAGCTTGTAACGTGTACTGGGTTGGGTTATACGTGTGATAAAATTGGGAACACTTGTAGACAATGGAGGGCAGGTATTTCTGAAAGAAATTTAAGTTTTAAAACTAAAATTTGAGTAAATGAATTTGGAGTAAAGTGGAATCGTGAATTTGAAGGAGCCCTTGAGGAAGGAATTATTCAAGTAGGAGATATGCTGTTTTATTGTGACGACTTTTTCAATAATGGGACACTAAAGGGTGCCATAACGACGGCAGAGCGACTATGGGATGGAGGCATTATTCCGTACGAAATTGACGAAATTTTGGTAAGCGTAATATGTAAATTTGGCTTTTCAAAATAAAAATTAACGTACAAATTTTGTAGTTTACAAAGTTTTTGGTAACCCAAAATATTTCAGTTAAAAATAAAAGTTTGACATCAATTTCAAAGTTACAAAAATTTTAGTCAATTATCTTAGAAAGGCATAGACCTCTTATCATGGCGGCTATGAAACAATACGAGGACTTCACCTGCGTGAAATTCATAGCTCGGATGACGGAGGTGAACTACCTCTACATCGAGCAGGGGACGGCTGGGTGTTCAACTTTTTTCGGGAATTTGCGGTGGGGAAGGCAAATATTGCGACTGGGGCGGGGCTGTCTGTTCATCGGGACCGTGGTGCACGAACTGGATCACACGGTCGGTTTACACCACGAACACAATAGGATCGATGGAGACGAATATATAGACGTTTTGTGGGAGAGTATTCAACAAGGTATTGCATAATTTTTATGATGGGAACGTCCATATATTACGTCACTAATCCTTAGATACATATTCTTGGATAAGAAGTGGGTTAGCGGACGGTTAAAAAAACTAGGTATGCACCGAGTGCTCGGCCAGGCCGACTACTCGGCCGACTCGGCGTGCATTTTTACTACTCGGACTCGGCCGAGTATTGTCGTCCCACTCGGCTGAGTATTTTTTAATTTTTTTGCCATTTTTTAGCAGATTATCTTGCCCATGAAACTGATTTCATGAAGTTTTCTTGCATTTTGGGTTTTGCAAAATATACTTCGTAACATTTTTTGCATATTTTAAGTCAAAGTTTTTCAGTTACGCCGAAATTAACGTTTTTTTTGGACTGTGCTAGCAATAGATATCACCAAACGTATGCTCATCGATTCTGACCAAATTAATTTCAATTGATCACATACTTATTTATGTGATTAATATATCACAATTTCACAAGACAATATCTCCTAACGCAAGTATCTATCTGTGGGATACATATTTGTATCCCAACAGGAAAAAACGTGCAGTGAATTTGGAAAGTGGGAAATTTATTAACTTTGGGACGCATTTTCACCTGTTGGCATGCAAATATTTACGCCAAACCTGTCTACATAATTGTAGCCACACTAATACCGTCAGAATTAGGTCGATTACGCTGGGAGATATTCATTATTACTAGATTTTGCCCGATTTTTATGAATTACTCGGTACTCCGTGCTCGGCCGAGTACTCGTTTCAAGAGTTGCCGAGTACTCGGTACTCGGCCGAGTTCCATTTTTCACCACTCGGTGCATCCCTAAAAAACTGTTTTGTTTAATGACGTAACATAAGGATGTTCCAAGATGAATTTAGTTTAAACGATTTTTTAATGGGCAACGGCAATGAATTATAAATCTCGACGTCTTACTGGACCGATTTAAATTTTTCGAAACTAAAAATGAGCCGACGAACTTGTTACTCAAAAAGATTAAACACTTTGAATTTGGCACTTTTTCAAATTCAGAAACGGTCAAAGTTCAAGGGAAAAAAATAGAACATGTTTTTTTATTATTTCGGAATCATATTCAAATTGCACTTTCAAAAATCTTAGATATTCACCTCACGCGTTGTCATTATAAATAAATATTTTATCGCATTTTTAGGATCAGAGTGACTATTTGTGAAGACGCCTGCGTCAAAAGATTGGCTGATCAACGGATATGATATCGACAGCATTATGCACTACGGGGAGACGGCCTTTTCCAAGGACGGGGTTAGCCCGACGATGAAAAGCAAGGACGGTCGGCCTATTTACGACCCCTGGGGGAAACCTGGTCTCGAGTGGAGTGATATTTACAGGATTAATAAACTTTATAATTGTTAGTATGTAAGGAGATTAGTTGACCAACTTGTTCCGAATCATCATGTTTTAAAATTAATCGTATATTAATTTATGAACTTTTATATATTTTTTAAATTTGGTGTAATTTATTATCATTCTCTCATTAAATACCAAATATACTGCATTTATTTTTTGAAATTAGTTTTTAAAACGACGTGATTACATTTCAGAATTTTGCATTGAATATGAGTACTGTGAGGCGAAGAAATTTTTGGTTGGTTAAAAGTGAATTTAAGAAAAGCAGACTCAAGACATCGCAAATTTATTTATTTGTATGTGTATGTATGCAAAGTAGTCAAATCATATACTTCAAATGGAATATATTTGTGGGGTACACCTCAATCTAGAGTATAATTTTTTGAATATTTAATTTTGGCGCCCTAATTTTTACTTACTTCTCATCCTCAGATCTCGATCCGTTATTTAGTAAAACTGTCTTAGTGTGTGTGTTTACTTGTTTTGCAAATTTTGCCTGTAGGTGCAACCTTTGTTTGCAAAATTCATAGAACTTGACCTCATTACCCATTTGGTCACGGACGAGCTGCTTAACATCTTCGGGAATGTTGGGCTTTTCTAAATTTTTGTTAATTGTGACCATCGTTTCCTTGTTTTTGAGATAAGTTTCCCTCGCACCGGCAAAAACGCGGGGAATGTAGGCCTCAAAGACTTCCAGACTGAGGTCGAGTTCCTCCAGGACACCGACCACGGAATAATATTTGTCCACGTTTTCCATCGCTCTGCTCAACGCCCATGCACCGTTCTTCTCGCTATATGAAATTTAGTCACGTCAAAAAAGAACAAATTGTATCGTGCAAATTTCGTCATTTGGTATTATGAAAATGATGTTAATAATTAGTTTGCAAATCCGCTTTGGTCTAGAGTCTAGATACACTCATACAAGCAATGTTATAATTCTCAACATAAAATGCAAAGAGAATTCTAAATTAAGTAAACTATACGAAATCCAGGCCAAAATTAGCTTGATAAAAAGTAAAGTTTACGCTGGGTTTGATAGAGAACACTTACATAATTTAAAATTCAGACTAGATGTAGTCTTCAAAAGAGTATACTGTTTTTAAAAGTGGGACAAACAGGAAACTTGAAGTATAAAATTGTGGTAAAAAATTACTGCTTAAAAAATTGCTGCGTTAGAAATTCCTTACTTGCACCGCTCGTCCATCCCACAAAAGAACATCATTTGACTCCACACATTTTCATGTGCGCCCTCGAATCGACATTCATCATAATTTTGGAGAACACAGGTAGAAAAATCCTACACAAATTTACAACGGACGATTTATTTGAAATTTGTGATATTATTTGAATACAGTACCCTCTGCAACCACTTGTCGTCCTCCGGTTTGTTATTCTTCCTCATTTTAGCGACGAAGTTTCTAACCCCGCCTAACCGCATGTAGTAATACCATGAAATCATCCGCTCGAGAGGGTCCCGCACCATGTTGATGTACACAACCTGGGCGCACCCACCCCCTCCACGGGTAAAGTTGACCATGGCGACGTGCTTAGTGTACACGCTGGGTGGTTGTTTCGGCAGCTGACATAGGAGGTGAGCAAGGTCAGCTTCCTGGACACAGTTTAGCCTGGCCTGCATCCCCGGGTGGGCGGCGTCTTGAAAGAAGGCGACCCCATTTCGGAAGGACAGTCTTCTGAGGAGATTTATCATCATAGTGCTCCCTACTTTGGGGACTCGGTTAAAAAATATAAGGTCCGGATTGGAAGGGGTTATGTTTGTGTTTTGGTGCGTTTCAGAAAAAAGGGATCCATCTGTGGAGGAATTTGGCGACATAGCGCTAGTGTTTTGGAACATTTCGGTGAAAACGGAACCACTTGTGGAGCAAATTAAGAGAAAAACTGGTAGAAAATAAAGAGTCGACATGTTCGACTAGATTCGGGTAGAGAAACGGTGAAATTTATTACTCAGAGGGTAATATATCCCAAAAACTGTAATTTTACTTACATAAATTGTTGTTTAAGAGAGTCAAAATCCAGGTTAATTTGTTTTTGTTGGTTGTACTTTACTACCTGGAAGCATCAATAAATAAATAAATTTGCGGTCCTAAGTCGACCAATAATGAGTAAAATGTACCTCACACTCCCGTTAATAAATCTGACAATTCCATGGTAGTTTTCCACAAAAGTGGGGTAAAATGTACCTTAATCGCATAATTAATTATTGTATTGTCTCCAATTCTACGCATGTTTGTCTAGTCTTATCGCGTATAAATAAATCATCACCTGCATATGCCCTGCTGAAACTGGGAGCAGTTGGACTAAATCCTTCCTGGCAATTCAAGCGAGCTCGATCTTTAAAATTCTTCGATATGAACTTTTCCCACCATTTCGCGTTACTGACATTTTTCGGTTACTATCAATTCGCCGAAATGCAGAATATTAAGGTAACAAATAAATGTAGTCTGACAATGGAAGTCTTGATAACGTTGGCTATTAAATTTTAAAAAACTAGCCTCAATAGATCACATATTTAACTAATTTGAAAATTGCAAGAAAGTACGATCTCCCTCTGCACAGATATGGCTCCTCATTTATTTGCATCCAAATCGAGAAAAAACATTTCAAAGATGACGACTTTTACCCTGTCCAAAATCAAATACTTTCCATCTTCGAATGCAAATATCTCTGCGCTTGGAGATCGTGCCTTTTGAAAATTTCATGTTGATTAGATTTTTGCGGTGGATTTGTCAAAATCGGGGAGAATACTCAAAGATGCCTTCGTTATTAATTAAAGCTAGCGTTGCCATTCAGGTGTAAATGAATTTTGGATGATTTGGCCTTAAATTCAGTATAAATTGCAATCGGCTTGCGCAAAATTTAAACTTTAAGCATTTCTGTGGAGGAATTCAATTGTAACTTGCGCAAGGCGTTAGCATAAATTTTGATTCAAAATCTAGGCTTACGCTTTGCGCAAATTATAATTGAATTCCTCTCCTGGATCCCCAGATAAATTTGGGTTGGGTTGGTGTAAATCTCAAATAAATGTAAAGCTTTCCACCTGTTTAATTGTACAATAAACCGAAAATAAGCCGTAAATCAGTTAAAGACGAGATGGTCTAAAAAATTGATAGTTTAAAATTGGCTCTTCTCTTGGAATTTATATAATACGTCGGTTTTAGGTAGAACCTAAAATTGGTTTAGGCGTTAAAAATTAATTTTAGGACAGGTTGGTAATTACTGTTTGTATGTATCTACTTGTGCATTTAAGGTCAACCCATCTTCACCTTACGTATTTGCAGCTCACTGGCAATATAGATAGCGGAGAATAGCATCCGCGCGATATCCTTTAAGAAAATCCTACCGCTGTAATAGTTGATCCATAGTAAGTAAATGATACGCATTGTATGTATTTAATCAGGAAATTGACGCAAACTGCGTGGAAACAAGCCCGTTCTGCGTGGCAAATTCGGACTGCTGTGGTCACCTTTGCGTACCACTTGTCTCACACACTATCCCAGACACAACAGTGTACCATGCTCTTGTCAATGTCGGACTCCGGGGCGAGAGCCAGTTTGACCTTTCCAGCCTGAATGTCTGCTCAATGGTAAGCATAAAAGACGGCAAAGTGGCGGAGCCAGGTGCTAGGGGGTTGGAAGAAAGTTTGGGAAGGACCACACCGCCGACGACACCGCCGACAACACCGACGACACCGCCGACAACACCGCCGGTACCGGCACCACAATACCCGTGGTATCCACCGTACCCTGGATGTTTCCCGAAAACATTACAAGACGAGGTTGCCATTGAATTAGACAAGCTTGTAGAATTCGTTCCCACCGTTTGTCGCCCTTTTATGGAAGAAAGCACGAAAATATTGGGCAGATATATGAAACAAGTTCCTGTACGACGGGGTGCATCGTATGGTGACGAATGTTCGGCAGATGCCCGCGTAGATAAGAAAGACTGGCGGTACGTGTATTAACTTTTCTAAATACAATGTATGTAAGTATAAGTGACTACGTATGTTAAATGGGTTGTTGAATAAGTAATACTGAAGTAGCGTGTCTATTTATTGTAATATTGTACAGTGCAGTAGTAGCTTGGCATTAAAGTTTTACCATATCGGTAGCAGAACGATATAATTTTAATCTCATACGATGACAACTTTCATACCTTACGTAATAATACCACATTTCTAAAAGTACAAAGAAACTGGAGAAATCATATTTCATGCTCATATTTCAAGTTTCACCATAATTTCATGGGAAGGTCGATTTGCATGTTTATATAAAATGTAAATCTTATTATCATGTTTGTGCATGTTAATATATACACATTAAAATAAAGTCTTCCATGTAAAAATAAAATTTGATTAAAAAATGCATAAATATGTAAAAAAAAGGAGTAATAATAATAATAATTTGCACGACTTCTGTGTACCTTTTAACCAATATTAAGTTTGCGATTTTCAGAAAAATTAAAACCTTCGGAACACTAAACTAAACAAAGGAATAGTTTCTCAAAAATTAAAACCTGCAAACTCGCAGGTCTATGCACGTATATATTAATTTTTGTCAATTGGCTAAGAAAAAAAATCGTGAACAAAACGCAAACATATTGGTTGCATAAGATACACATTTATTCCACATAAGATTGGCAAACGCGTTTTGGTTTTAAATATGTCATGATTACAAGAGTATTTTAGTTCCTTTATATGTAATAGCTTAACATCATTTAATATCAAGAAATTTTGCAAATTTCTTAGTCAACTTGACATCCAGTTATCAATAAATGCTGATACATTTTTGCATAAATCATTGCAAGCTTTGTCAATATTTATCTGTATTTTGTAAAACACTTGGCGAACTATTTACTACATATTCAGGGCCACGGTATTTAAAAATATTCGCGAATATGTGCTCTTCGCAAATTTGATGTCAGTGCTCTCTCGGAATGGAATATGGCATGCTTGCTGAAATTGTCTCCAATTCCTTCTCGTCATCTTTGTCGTTTTTATCGTTTTCTCCCCGGACTTTGGGGCTTCTTTTTCGCAAATTATTTCGCACATCGACACTCCAACTTCTCGTTTTGCCTGCTAATTTTCTCGGAAGGTCGCAGCAACCGAATCCGACGCCGAGGAGGACGGCGTATACGCCGTATACGATGTACTGATCGCGAATCGGAAGGTGGAATCCGTGCCGAGAGGTGACCGCCATGGTCAGCAAGAGATGGATGATGCACGCCGTTAGTGTATTCATGCCGAAGATGAAGGCCTCAGTTTTCTCCCGGACGGATTCTGCGACTTGAGATCTGTGCAAAAAATGCAAACGGTAGTTATTATTTATACTTTTTACTGTTCAATATGAATTTTGTCACTAACAAGGATTGTGTACCGTTGTGAATATGGAATTGCTTTAAAAACGGTTGGTCTTAGGATTAGTAAAGTTTCGACAATTTGCAATTTTTATGAGCATTTAAAACTGTCCAAATTATTTTTGGAATAAATCTGAATAAAAAACAGGAAAAATAGAAATGTTGCAAAAATTACGAAGTATTTTCCCAAATTTAACGAATCATGACGGTCGACCCTCAAACAAATTACCAATGTGAATATTTTAACAAAGTTATTTGCCGATTTTAAAAGAAAAATTTAAAAAAAAACATTTTGCAAAAAGCGCAAATGAAGAACATTTCGTATTTTTGCAAGACTTCTATTTTCTCAGATTACAATTACTCACTTTGCAATAATGACCAAAACCTGGAACATGGTCTGAAACAGGATGAACATCCCGTAGGCGACGTACAAGTCGTGCGTTTTCGCCATGACGAACAAAGCCACGCCTTGAAGGACGGTGGACACGCCGAAGACGAGACAGCCCCACTTAATCCAACACATTTTTGTTCGCCCAACAATCAGACCAAGACCGACACCTGGAGTGAGGAAAACAAAGATTTACATACTTCCGGTTATTTCTCTGAATAACATGGAAAGGTTGATGCAGTTTATTTCACACGTTTAAGTTTTTATGTACATACGATTGTAGGCCCCCTAAAATCCCATAAAAATAGATAAGTCACTGCGAATTTTGAAGTTTTGTCGGTTAGGTCGATAATGTCGTTGCTAAAGGGTATTGGTTTAATTTGTACTGATTTCTCCTCAATATTTAAAAACGTGTAGCTCAAAATCGGTGAAAACAAGGTAATAGGTATCATCATCTAGACGAATTAAATCAGCACCCCTTACATTTGAGTTGTTTGGATAAAATTATGGAATTGTGACAAATTGAATGGTTAAACTTGCAAATATATGACATACATATTTGACAAATATGTCATTGTATACGAAAAAGTACACATACTTATACAGGAAAATATAACGACACATATCGGCTTGACATGGGCAAGATTAATTCCTACCTTCGGTGAATCTTTGTATTAAAAGGGCAAGTTTTTTATATTGTTTTTGAACTCACTGATAATTGCGTGAGACGCGTGGACCGCTCCGTTGTACACGTTTTGATGGCTGTGGTGCTCAATCTCTTTCCAAAGTCCTTCCACGTAGAGATCGACCTGGATGTAGAGTCCGTACGACATGGCCCACCAAACCGACCACTTGACAATGTCGCGGTTTGTGTAGGTGTAAAGGATATTGTTCTTCCAGTGGGCGGGGGCCTCGCGCCACCGTTGCAGACGTGAGGGTTGCTTTTCTTTTCCGATGTTTCTTGTGTAATCGAGTCCGGCCGGAATGGGGGAAGGTGATTGTTCTAAATTATGTAATGATCTTGTCATTAAGTTTTGCAAAAATTGAACATGTAAGAAATTTGCAAGCTTAAAGTGTACTAGTCAACATACATACATACAGAAATTTAAGACATGAAAATCGAATTAGCCGATAACATAATCATACTTTTTAACTAACTTTTCAATCGAAATTACATAAACGAGCTTACTGATTAAATCGTGAAAGTAGGCTAAATTCAAAGTAATATTAAGATTTGTGTATTTAAATACTTATTTATAAATATTAAAGATTTTGCAAAATTATGTAAGAAATTTGCCAGGAATTATTGATTCTACAAGAATAATGAATTTACATGAAAAATTTACCAAGTGTAGTAATTTTATACGACGGAAATATAAAATTGGTTAATCGAATTAAGCGGGTAACTTATCTATGTAGGTTTGAAAATTCTTTTCAGATAAGTGTTCAATGGAAATCGCGCATGTATTGGTTAGCCTAATATGTACAAGAGTTTGTTAAATACATCCCTTTATTGAGTTTGCAATTTGATTCACTGTCTTGCAAAACACTATTTTTGCAACTATCTAATTAAATACTAGATTTATAGTTTCACGTGTAAACGATCATTTTTCGATTCTCACCTTTTCCATCTTTCTCAGCCTCTTTTTCATCTTTCTTCATTGGTTCTTCCACATCGTTTGCGTCCGCATTTTTGAGCGCTTTCTCTTCCTCTACGTCCCGCAGGACGCGTGGGAGAAAGAGCGCGAAGAAGAGAGCACCCACCCCGCCGGCCAAACTGAGATAGTTGAGCTCCTCAAAGTTCATTAGGTTGAAGGAGATGAGAAGTTGGCCAGTCATCCCGGAAACGAATTGGCCAAAATGCACGGCCGAATGGGTGTAGGATGTCACTTTTTTGTAGGCACATTTCTCAATGTTGGCGTACATGTAGGTGAAGTATGCGACCTCCGTGGTGGTGACGGAAAGACCGTAGAAAATTTGGCGGATCTGGAAATTAATAGAAATTAAAGTCATGTTTTTTTTAAGTTTATTTTTTTGGTACATATCGCGAGTAGAAATCTATGTCGAATTTTGCAGTAATCGATAAAAACCCTATGCATATTGTGTCATACATAATATTTTTTACATAATACTGCAAAACTTATGTGTCCCTATTACATATTCTGCAGAACTGTATTTGCGTAACTCTGCATAATTCTGCACAGATTTCTTCAGAAATCTCTCTGCAGGACATCTTTTCAAATTTTCCTCGGGACGTTCTTAAAAATCCGGTAATAACAAGCAGCGCAAATTTATGAATATCTTTCGGATAACTCCACAGTTATGCAAGAAGGTCTTGAAAACCAAGAGTATCTGTATTCTTGGACAAAGTTGGAGAAAATGTGAAAAAACAATGTTATTAATTTCCAGCAGAAGCGAAATATCAGTTCTAAACTTATTTTAAAATACTGTATTTCATAAAAAAAATAGATGACAGGATTTTGATTGGGTGTCGCATCGGAAACATTGCAAAATTGCGAAGCGATGTTTAGTAAATCGCATTTACTGGTTTTACGAAATTGACGTGAATGTCCCGGATACACGAAGAATACAAGATAGCAAATGTATCTCACTACAATTTAAGTAATTCATACCCGTGCCGTATTCACGCTGTTGAACTTCCAGATTGTGATGGCCCACGTGAGGATATTGTACACCCCACCGGCCACGATGATGGGTTTGTAGTAGAGGGCGTCCGTCACCATGAGGAGCAGGACGAGGGACACGATGTAAGACCCCGTCGTGGCCGGAAGGACTTCGTGGATCATCTGAAATATGGAAATGTAATTTTCTGACGAATTTCTGCATTTTACAAAATAATTGAGAGACATTTTAACTCAAATATGTTCGTTTCACAGTCAGTATGTAATTTTGTGCAGTTTTAAATTTCCGGATTAAAGAAGCATTCAATCGTTCATATTGTGAAATTTTTATTAAAATTTGTAAAAGTATATTTACGAAGTTTAAAATAATTTTGTGACAACAGTGTTTAAACAAGATGAGAAATAAAAAGTGCTACTCTTGCGAATAGTGAATGTACCCTGTTAAATTCTAAATTCAGCACACTATGCAAAAGTCCAGAGTAACGTTGAGTTCATAAAGAGTTAAATTGACTATGGATTTGGTTTATTTAGTTTATCTGATATGACTGCGTTTACTATTCCAAAAGGTAACATTATTTTTAGGAGTGTAGCGATTTGAGAAAATGGATACGCGGAAATTAAAATGTTTTCATATATGTAAATTATTAACCTGTTCTCCCGTGAAGTTTTTATGGTCGACGGCATAATCGACGAGGAACGGTCCCGAGGGCCGGAACTCTTTTAAAAGTCCGACTGCGATAAGGACTAAAATTGCGGCTTTCCATTTGCATTTGCCCTTCATGATGAATTGTTAAGGGTATATTTCTTTCAAATTTTATGCTATATTTCTGAAGCTTTGTCACAAATTTTATAAACAGTCGAGGAAACGTTTCACTAAAATGTTTCACTTCACATGTATGCAGAAATGCACATGTTCGCAAAAATCCGCACACATTCTAACATTGCACCATTCCTGCTTGACGACCAAATCAGCACTGCAGATAATTAATAAAATTCTTGGTCTTGACAATGTTGACGATGATAGATCATCTTTTCACTGGCAGGTATGTACATATGTACTTCTCTGCAGGACGAACTCCTTAATCACTCGCATCCTTGCTATTGTGAAAAATGATATTTTATTACTCTCTGTGGGAGCTGTGCAAAAAGGACGTAATCAATTTTACGCGAGTTATATATATTCACATCCTTCCAATATTAAGTAGTGGTTAACATGGGTGATATGCATATATCACATGAAGGAGATTGGAGTCAAAATTATCACAAAATCTGGCACACCCTTTATGTACGGCCCATCTGTCTGTGTATACATATCCAGACAAAGGACTTACAGTGTTGAGGAATGGAGCAAAACCCAGCCAACTTTATTTTTTTGCTCGACGACTCTTCAGCTTTTAACGTTTGCAAGAAGGTGAAGAATTGGGCAAGAAATGTTGTACCCAATATGTTTGCATGATGGTTGTCGAGTCCCTTATTATTTGTGAATATTTCTATATAACCAAAATTGTACTTAACAAGGTGGTGGAGAAGAAGAAAGGGATTATTATTTGGGATTAGTGACGCGCTAGTAACCGGTTCTCCAGCAGAGAAGGTATGTAGAGAAGGTAGAGGTAGACTAGGAATGTGTATCGTGAAGGGGGACAGGTTTTATATGTATTGGAGTGCAGTGACTGCGGACTTGGTGGGGACGTTGGGCAGAATAATAAGAAAATGTACTTTCTCCAACGGTTTCCAATTTGTCTCGCTTAAAATTTTTCTGCATAAATATGTAAGGCCCATCAAATATTGTTGTGATTTCCACAAATTAAATTGAATGAAATTTCATATTTTTTCGGTATTAAATGAAAAGTAATATTATATTTTGCATTTTAATTTTTTTGCGTTTTTTAGCGATATTAGCACAGGAAAAGCGATACTGTTAAAATCTGACTACGGTAAAATAGAAGTAATTATCTCAGATCATTCAAAAAACAATAATTTCTACTTTGGAGAACAGAACAACAAGTTTTTGTTTTTTCTTGTACTTTGTGAGATCCCCACGGCGTCCGCAGCCACTGTCACTCTAGTTTGGAGTAAACAGCCTTGACACCTAATATGTATACAACGATCATGGTATCCTATAGAGATAAACAGTTCCAATGTTAGTTATTCAGTATAGGACGGGGCTGGAATGATGTGATTGGCTGGTTCGCAGTTCAAATTTCTCCATGTATTTTTGATGCCGCATAAATGAAGCCGTAGCACTCTCTGCGCACCATCCGTCTCACTTTACCCTTTACCATCTCTTCTCATCACACTTTATATTTTACGTCCCAGAACAAAAAAACAGTTTTTCGTGCTTCGGTGTCTACCACACCCACCCACCATCATCAATTATTAAGTAAGTTTAACGACAAGATATGTCAGAGCAGTTTTACAACCATGCTCAGGATTTAATGTGACTTAATTTTTGTACAGATTTTCGTCATCTTGAATGGAGAATTTTTGCGACTTTCTAAGTTCGAATAATTAATTAAAAACTGAAAGTTGTTGTGATGCAGATTTACAACCAAATTTATTGCAACAAAAATTGATTTAGCATAAATACAATTTTACTAACTTTACGTTTGACAAACGTCTAAATAACAACTAAAAAAATATACTCCACCGCCGTGTTGTCACCACTGAAAGTGTGTATCCACCGGCAATATTGATATTGATATATTGAAGCAATTGTTATCTAATGTGAATAAAACATCTTTGTTGTTTATAGATTTAATAATGCATCTTCACCAATAAAAACAACTTTGCCGTAATAACCAAACATCGAAATAATTTCCCGGTTGCAAAATATTTTATTATAAATAGTAGCAATAATTTTCGTGCCTTGAGTATATAAGGAAAATGGAAACAGTTGAATGTGGTTCTGGTTCTTCTACTTCAAACTGTAGTGAAACTTATTTCTAATCTTATCTTCTTGTTCATATAAAGGATAAATTAACCCACCCCCCTTTCGGTGGAGACACAGACAATGGTGAAGACACAAATGGGGTGGAGAGGTCGGTAAAACTCTTTGAGAAATTTCTTGAAGGTGGCTAAAAGTGTTTGCTGCAAACGACAGTTTTAGGTGATACGTTTTCCTTATCGATGTCGAGAATTTTACACCACTGCTGGAACCTTTAAAAAAACTAAAATTAGCTATCAGAGGAAAAAAGAATGAGAGAAATGAGTTATTTTGCATCGGAAGTTGTACCTGACGCTTTGGCAGAAAGGAGTAATTACGATTTTCTTGGTTTCAAGAATTATCACAATTAGTACCGCAACACTTTATATTTCGGACCGTGACGAACGACGGTTTATTAAATTCAAATAAATGTTTTGAGCAACTGGATTTCCTGCGAAAAATAACAAGCAATTAGTAATTTGAAACCTGCTTGAAACAAATAACGTGTTTTCACCATATTTATGTGTCTCCACCGTTAATTGTTTACTTTAAGAAGATTTTGAAGAAGGTTTTGATAAAGTCACACTGAATTTGAGTACATGAAGGCGAATCAGTAATTAAAATGAACGTGTTTCCACCATATACATGTGTGTGTCCACCGTTCGTTGCTTTTTTAATTTTTGGAGATAAGAAACTATTATTTTAATATTATGGTTGAACCTGGTAAACTTTACTGAAGTTCCTGAGAATTTCACACTATTCCCGAGTCACGAACAAGGTCTCATAGTAATTGATGAGTCTGTAATTAAACAAAATAACAAGGAAATATTGATGTAACAGTTGCTTGCAATAATGAACGTGTTTCCACCATATTAATGTGTCTCCACCGTTCATTATTCTTTTAATTCTAGAGGAAAGAAACTATTTTTAAGATCAAAATAAAATTTACCTTAAGCGAAGTTTTGAAAGTTTTTTAATAGTCTTGACAAAGTCACATTGATTTAAGTACCCTTGTTTGGCCAAATAGGTGAACCTGTAATAAAATTGATACATTTTAGTTATCGACTGCTCATTGGTAGCGAAAGAGTGGGTGTGAAGATATAATTTGAATTTGCTTTGTATAAACGCACACTGATAGATCAGATAAATTGACCGGTGGAGACACGGATCTGGTGGAGGAAGGGGCAATAGGTCACAATATTGAGTAACAATTATTACAGGCACAAATATTATATCTGCAATTCACAAAAATAAATTTAGTGGAACTTAATTTCCAACAATGAGAGTGTTTTCACCATACATGAATGTACATATATGTGTATTCACCGTTCATTATATGAGAAACTATTTTTGAATCTTGCAAAACTTTAACGAAGTTTCCGACAATTTCACACTGTTACCAGGTCACGAACAACAACTAATGGTAATTGATGAGTCTATACTTCAATAAAATATAGTGCATTACGAAATACAAGTTCCTTGGTCCTTATTGTTGCAGAATCCAGTTAAAGTTGTTATTTACCAGGTTGGCCGGCGATGACACAGATTTCTGGTGGGGGCACGGCAGAGAGGTCGCAAAATTAATGGATGAAAAATTGTCCTTAGCAGTTACCTGTACCAATAAATCGCAATAAATTAACATCCAAATCACTCGTAAAAATGAACGTGTCACCACCATATTTGTGTCCCCACCGTTCATTGTTGAAAGAAAATAGTAATTCTTTTACTACTTACCGAGAGTTGAAGCTTAGAGCTTAACTTGTGGTGAGTTGAAGCGATTTATGTAATTGAGTGGATGTCAGAAAATTAATTTGTAGGATATTAAATAATCTTTTAATTATTCATCTTTTCCGAGTTTGGCAGCAAGAATGATGGTAAAGGAGACACCTGATTTTGGTGCCAAGAAAGGAGTGAGATTTCCAAGTAATAGGGAAATTGAGATTGGGAAAAATTGAGTTGTGCCACGGCCCTGTTTTTATGGGCGGATGCCCATAAAAACCGTCAGCCAATCACAGCATTTGGAACCCCATTTCCCTATACTGAAACAATAACCATATCTTCATCCTTCTTTAAGTGATCTGTATTCGCTGATATGTATACACATAGTGCCACGACATAAACCTTGTCCATGTCTTGCATGCATGAATGCATGCAGCTAATGTGGAATCAATAAAATATTTCTCACAAAAAATGCTGTAGGCGAGTACTTACATATAGAATTTTTGCAATAATAAAGCCTGCAAACTATGTGGTACATAATCACCCGCAGAGAATGTGATGAATGAACACAGTATCGAATGGTACATGGTATGCAGCACACTAAGAAAACTGGTATTAAATACATCATTACTGACCTGTGTATGTATGTACATTTGTGACTCTACTGACACAGGTATATATGTAATTACGGTCTTTACCGTCCAGTAATGAAAGCTTTCCCCTCAGGAAAAAATACTATGACTTATCCGGTAGGAATTCATTACAAAATTAATACCAGTGCAGGGTGTATCTTACCTACTACCAGATATTTAACAGTGACCTCTCAATACTTTTATGTTAACTGTGGAGGAAAATACTATGCTAATCCACCATTCCGGTTTAAATTTATCACCGAAGGGTAACATACATACATATGTACGAAGATTCTTGCTTAGCCCGTAATATCAACGCCATGGTAGAAAAAATATTACCGATCCATATTGAAATAACCCTCATAAGACAACTTTTTATTACTCTGTTAAAAATGTGGTAAAGTCAAATATACACTCCGTGTTAGTATTGATTTGGTAATAACTTAACCCCGGGTTGGTAATCGATTGATTCTGAGTGGTGAGTTTTCATCACTACGGCGGTGTATATTTTTCACTATTTTTTACGTGGTGCCCGTTATCACAGCGCTGGTTAAGTCATACACATATGCACTCCGGATGGTGATGATTTAATACCGTTTTGCTAAGAGTGCATACAGTTACCACGCGGTGTAGAATTTCATAGCACCTCCACCGGTGAAAAAATTATTTAGCTAGTGTAACTACCACGTCCAGCAAAATGATGGAGTTATGACAAATCTAAATGTTCTTCTAGTCTACAAATGTACATACCTGTGGATAAAAATAGGTACAACAAAATCCATACGGCCCGACCAACTAACCAAATAAGTGCCAAGTTCACAACCTGACTTTGTGCTCCGATTCCAAAGTAAATGTCAAACTATTCTTCGGATGAAAATCAATATTGCGCAGAAATCGTTTATGTGCTTATGTAGTTAGAGGAAATATTATTTAACATGGTTTGTTCTGGATTTGGAGAAAGTTTGGCATATGACTATGAGTCATGCCGGTAGGACAGGTAGGTAAATCAAATCGAATTAAATATTCATTGCCGAATTTAGGAAAAAATGATGAAATGGTTTGATCGATATGGGCATGGGCATTTAGCGGAGGAGGAAATGCGAACAAAATTAAGAGAAAAAATAGTCAAAACCGGCGGACTGGATGTTAATATTGTAAAAGGGGGGGGGGCGGGTGGGGTATAATACAATGGGGGGAGGGGGTTATAAACTTACCTTAGAAAACATAGGGAAGTTTTTCATATGTCCACACGATTCCGGGAGCACTGGTTAACAAAGAGAAATGTGAATCCGCAACTGAGTTTTTTTTCGTGGTGAAAAAATGTCGGAAATATTCTCAATTTATCCTTAATGATTGCAAATAAATATTCCTAGAAAATTTTTCACATGTTATCATCTGTCAAGATTTTAAATAATGACGCAATGCACGCAGTCATTAGTAAAATACGTTCACTTCGTTAAATAATTGTACATACACACTTTTACGAAATAACGCGACACTCCTGATTTTAGCAGGTTGACAACATTAGCTA